TATTGTTGTCGAGATCTCACAACATAACAATCACTCTTAATCTAGAGAACAATAATGATGATGACAAAGATTATGATTGTTCCAAATTGGAAATTGAAGAATTAAATCACAATCAAAGATTGATGATAATGTTTCACAAATAATGATAACAGCTATGAAGATTATGAATTAATTTTTGAAATTAAAGAATGAATTCCAATCTCATCATGGAAGGAAGAAATTCAGAAAATTATGAATACATTATATTTGGATAGGTTAATTAGCAAGAATTCAAACTTATTTTGTAAGTGATAAAAATGCTTGTTCAAACAATCAATGAAGCTATTTTCATTAAGATATGTAATTTATTAATAGAGAACTCCACTTTTAGAGATGATTTTCAAAATTTTATAAATTATTTTATAAATTTAGAAATTATCTTCATTGGACTTTAATTGGTGTGAAATGAATTATAATAAATTTAGCTAAATACGATCTAATGCATTGGCATTATGTGAATTGTATTATTAACCCTAATTATTAGTATTAATATATTAATGATTAAAGTGATAAATTAGCTAATTATAACATATTGAATGATAGAAAGAAAAGAATGAGATAAAATAACGAACGAAATAATAACGGAGTAACATTTATTAAAATGGTCAATGCACGTTAGTATTTCATTTTCCTAATAACCAAATTTAATTAATTAAAAAAGACAGTCATGTACGCACGCGCACATACATGCTTATTATGAGATAACGTAATTTCATATAAAATCTTATAATACATTTTTTCAAACAATTATACTTTGGTCGAATAATTTAATTCTTTAATTAATACTTTCTTTTTATTTCCTAATTTTCTTTTTTTAATACTTTCTTTTTATTTCTTAATTTTTTTATTAATAATTCCTACTCTCTCAACACACACATTCACTCCTTCCTCCCCATAGAAATACAATGGGCAACTGTGTACAAAAAGAGTCAAGTGAGGAAGATGAGCCAAGAAAATATATAAAAAAGCGAGGATCAGACACATTA